TTCTCCATCCATCGTTCTCACTCGATCTCTACCCCATCCCCCTATGATCCTTCTTGCTGTCGCTCATCTTCCCCTCCTCATATCTCCCCCTTCCCCTGTCCCGTTCTGTCTCCATCTCAATTCCTATCACTCCCACTCCCCCTTCCCCTCTTGATCTCTCGTTCTCTATCTCTTCCCCCTTGCAGTCCCACTATCTTCACCTCTCCTCTCTCTCCCACTCCCCAAGTCCCCTTTCGTTCTCTCTCCATCTCTAGCTCTATCACTTTCTCTCCCTCTAACCCTTCTCATCTAGCTTGATATCTCGTCTCTACTCCATCTTTCGCTCTCCTTTCTTGCTGTCGCTTTATCTTCCCCTCTCTCCATCTCTCTCTCACTCCTCCCTTCCCCTCTCTCATTCTCTATTCATCTCTACCACTATCACTTCCTTTTCTCCCTATCTTCCCACATCCCCTCCTCCCCTCCCACTTCATGTTTTGTTCTCACTCCATCTTCCTCTCTCCCTTCTAGCTGTCGCTCTGTCTTCCTCTCTTTCCATCTCTCTGCCACCTCTCCTTTCGCCCACTTCATCTCTTGTTCTCGTTCCATCTCTGTCCCTTTAGCTGTATCTTCCCCTCTCTCCCAATCACCTGTTCCCATCACCCTTCATCTCTCCATCTTTAACCCTATGAATACCTTCCCTTCCAACTGTCTACTCTCTTTCCCCCTCTCCTGTTCTATAATCCATCACCACCATCCCTGTTCACCCCCTATCATAAACCAGTTTTATTTTTATGACAATTACAGAATCATAACATCTTACGTACGACACGGAGGCATCGTCTGAAAGTACTTCTTTTATTCCTGTTAACAATTGGCAATGTTCCTTTTAAGTTAATGAATATACATCCAATAAACAAATCCTTTAATTAAATATCTCGCATAGCTATCTCTCCCAGCATTTAAGAAATATTCACATCCTTACAAATACTAAATATATCATTCATGTACTAAAATAAGATATTGACACATCGTGTGCGAACGTACTTGTTTTCAGTTTGTGAAACATTTTTTTCATTGTAAGTAGTAGTATGTGAAATATTAGGGTGTCCGAAACATCGGATAGTTTACGCGAAGCATCTTTCGCACAAGACGTGTGAAAGAAATAGTATTACTCGCGCAAATTTTCTTGAACGATGACCTTGCTTCCCCCTCTCTGACACAATGAACAGTTGAAGACAAAAGCTCGCAGAGTGCACTGATGACAACATTCCAAACACATCTTCACTGGCGCAAAATTGAAACAATTTTATTTTGAAAACGAGAACATCTATCCATTATTTTCTCCAAAAAACTAAAGAAATGACCGAAGCAGGTAAAGATCTATCACAGGAGATACCTCTAACTCCTTAAAAGTAACGGAAATTATTGAGAATCATTGAGAACGTTGCGAAGGCATGACTGATCTCCAGAGATCGGCATTGCTTCATAAAATACAGTGGCCAATTCCGTAACTAATACCCTCACTCTACCCGTATTTCTTCAATCCATCGTTCAAGAAAAGTTGCGTGAGTAATACTATACGAAGAGATGCGTGCAAATTATTCTTCTATTTTGTTATCTACTGGCTTTTTTTAGGAAACCATCAAGTGCTACGTATTTGTAACTAACGGGGGATTTCCCCTACTGCTAACTAGTCATGATTTGCAGAAGCTTTAAATGAAAGCCGCTGTAACCCACGTCACTTCCTATCCACAATACTTCCGTTTCAGAGGTTTACTGCAAGTCATGCGAATTTTTGCTTTGCCGTGCAATGTACGCACATTCATAGTATAGAGACAGTTATGATAACCTTGTGATTTAAATTTTCAAATATTTAACCCCTTTCGTGTTTCAGACCACACTTTAGCAATTCAAAATTTTTAAAACAATAACAATTTATTAAGTTACGCCAAGTTACGCTTCTACAGTACAAATTTATAAATTTTGTGTGAATTTGCGATGTCGCCCCTGTACAGGAAACCGAAATATTGTCATATTGATTTGGGAAGCTGGCTCTCTATGTTCTTTCTATCAATGGGTTTGTATTACCTGCTAATATGCACACACAAATTTTAACAATGCAATCAATATGAGAGGCAATTATTTATTGACGACAACAGATTTCAAAATGCTTCGTGAAGAATTCTGCACTCCACTGTATATACACCAGCGTTCTATAGTACCAAAACATAACATGACATGACACATAATATTTACCCTTTAAATACAACATATCTTTAAAAAAATCAATAACATTCCCTCATTCATGTATATTTAAACTGCATTCATTGACGCGAGTGCTCTTGTTTTGAAAATTTAAAAAAACAAACTATTGGCCATTACCAATAATTACTTAGCTGGTTACTAGCTTGGCCTTGTTATAAGATTGTTGCAAGATTGCGTCACCTCCGTGGTTGCTGGAACAGTACTGTAAATGCACTGTATAAAATGGCATAAAACCAATTTTGTTGCATTCCTTTGCTCAAATATTACGGAAAATTTAAAAAAAAATATTTCTCACATTGTTAATATCCACATTATAAGCAATTTGTATACATTATTGCATTTGTGTATGGAAGTTCTTGAAATACTTCCATTGAAGTTTTAGCATACTCCAAAGTTGTATTAGAAATAGCTTCAAATTCCGCATTTGCAACAACACTTAAACGACGTTTTCTCAAAAGTGGCTCCAAATTTGTTAACTATCTCTTTCATATATGACAAGATTATGCCCTTCTATAACGTACTGAAAGTCCTATTTCAGTTCTTCCATTACAGTACCGAAAAATTGAGAAAATGTGGAAAACATTGGTTTGGGGCGGCGATAGATGACAAACGTCGAAGAGGATGGGGCGAAACTGCAAAAGTACCCCAAACCAAAGAAACTAATTCGAGAAAGTCTATGCCATTTTGTGGCACCGCTAATTTTGGTATGTAAAGTATCCCCCCGAATCAAAATACCCGCTTTAAATTCAAGAGGCCGTAGAGTAAGCCAGACCGATCGGGGAAGATTGTCGGCTTCTTTCTTGGAGCCTTGCTGTCGCACGACATCAGTGGAATCGTAAGTAGATTTACAGGCATGAAAATTCAGTTGGTAAGCGATGTATGGGAATATGCGGCATAATATCATTAAATATTAGAATTTTCAATGGAAAAATAAACTGACTCTTGTTTGGATTTTCCCCGAAGTCTTGGATTTCTAAAAAATTGTATCCCCTTCACGCATGGCCTGAGACTACACATTTGCCTTCCAATTTCTGCGGGCATGGGAAATGAAACATATTTAAATAATAGTTAAATTTGCGATATGCGTAACAGCATGCGAATCAGTAAAAAGATGAATTCATTGTTTGCCTATTGACTGCACCCCCTTTATCGCCATTCACATTCCGTCTCCTTTTTGTTATTTAAGGTCGCATCAACTTCTAGGTCATTAGCGACCACTATTGCTTGTAACAGCATGGTAACTGTGAAGATGACACGATATGACGATGATAGGGGGAGAAAGGACGAATACAATACAACCATGCCCGAGGCGGGTCTCAAAACCGCGATCCTTCGGTCCGAGATCGCCACGGCCCTACTGCCTTAACAATATCGCCCATCGGATGGGCTTTCCGTCTCCTTAATGTTCAATTAAAATTGCATTCACAACCACTTTCTCTTCACTTAACATTCATTTAGCCAGCTCTTCGCGCACAATACAAGGCAACGAGCCAGAAAGCGAAACTAAATTTTAGAGATGACTGTACCTACCAAACAATTCGACAGTCCCGTGCAGATTGAGCAAACCTTAAAAAATATAAGGAGGAGTTTTGGCACCACACGTAATGTAGCGGCGTTATGCACTAACAGTCCCGTGACGGACCTTGGAGTCATAACGTCTTGCCTTAATGGTAAGGTACGACCTTATACCGTCATAAATAGTGCACGCCTGTGGGAGTCTCTACGGTCACCCTACATGAGGCAAAATGGCCGCCTAAAAACAGGAAAAGTTGAAATTTTCCAACTCTGGTAAACCGATTCTCGTATGCGAGGCAGTTATAATTATTTCTTACCACCTCCACAACGCTGGCAATAATTAACGGGATATGTTGGAGAGGTGACAGGAAAGAAATTCTCGAAAAAGGAGTGCAAATCATATCTTCGCGATAGGTTATGTCTTACGCTCATAACAAACGCTGTTTTAAGGTATTTCCTGTATTTTCAAGAAAAGCAAACAGCATACTCATCACGGAGGGCCACAAAATCTAAAACTCCATGCAGAAT